CACGACTGCATGTACAAGAGTTCCATCTAGCGCACCTATTGCTCCAGGAAAGATTTCTTTTAGCTTACGATGCCTCTCTGAGGAATTCACAGTTGCATTAGAATTCGTTGGCACTATAACTTCTTTTGCAAAAATCATCATTGCATTTAGCACCTCATGAAAGCATCTATGAACTGTTTCTGTGGAGTGTTGAAACCTTCGTTTGATAATCCTGAACCGTTTATTATGTGCTATAGTAGTTAAGAACATAGCCATCTTTTCTTCAACGCTTATATGCCTACTACTTTGCAACCAATTATTTCGTCTAAAATGATTGCATAAAAGTACATATGCTTCACGTGAAAGACGCATCAGGTCTTTACATTGTGTAGAAGTTCCATGTAACAATTCTTGTGTATGTTGATGACCACTCATTTCCGAATCATTATCAATTGCCCTTCCAATTCTGTTGAATGCTAGATTCAACCAATAGCAACATAGTAACATGAAAAATGCAATTTCTTCATCCGAATCCATAAGCAATCTGTTATTTTGAAAATACATAACAATTATATTAACAACATATAATATAAAAATTCATCAAGCCATTAATATCAAATAATCCAAAACATCAAGTAATCCAAAACATCAAGTCATTAATGTCAAGTAATCCAAAAAAAAAAGCCATCTAGTTCAAACCAAACATCTAGTTATCCAAAAAAAAAACCATCAAAACATTCAAAAAATCTACTTAGCGAAACATTCCGTAATGTGCTCCAACAGTCTTGACCCAATTCTCACAAATAGCTGGATCAATGGTTAACCACACGTGCCTCTTATCCGCACTTTCACCAAAAAGAGCAACAGCAGTAGTGTATCTTGGATCAAATATTCCCCATCCTAATTTCTCCAATTTTTCCATACACGCATCCAAATTTGAAGAAGAATGCTTTTCCACAAATATTTTAGCAACTGTGGCAATATCTTCACCGATTTCAAGCAATCTTGAGTTGGATGCATCTTTACCCTTATCTTTACCCTTGTCTTTACTTTTATTTTGACTCTTTGCCGTATCTGTAGTCTTTTGTTTTTTTGATTGAGCGGATGACTCGTCACTGAGACCTACAGTTTCTTGTTGAGTGCAATCGATGTCATCAAAGTCATGCAAACTATAGTGGCTTGAGTCTTGAGTAGGACGGGGAAGGGTAGAAGTTGGTCCCCAACTATGCATGCCTGTCGCAGTCGCGCCTTCAAACAACTGTGTGCAAAGGTCGGGATACGGTAATGGTGTGCGTCTCAAAGAATCCACATGTTTGTTTGACTGTTTGGAAAAAAATATTTTATTATTTAAAAACATGAAAATCAATTTTTTATAAATTAACAAAATACCTTCGCTTCTAGTTCCCATTCTTCTTTGGAAAGATTAAAGGTGTTGGTTGTTGAATTGTACACATTACCGGTTTTGTTTTTTAACTTCAAAAAAGCACCAAACTTTGACTTTAGGTAGTCATAACGGTTCTTCATTTGTTTTTGGTCGGCAATAAAGTTATGTTCAATTTTTAGTGTTTCGGCTACATTTCTCCAAGAAAGTGCTTTCAAACTACTCCCTTCCCGTCCATTGATCGTAACTTCACGTAAACAAGCTTCAAGAAATGTTTTCTCTACACCTTCTACCTTCCAACTAATCCTATCCTTCTTTTCTCCCATTTCTTTGATCAATTCAACAAAAAAAATGCATGTTTTAACAAGTTAAACATTGCAAAAACACATTTTCAACAACAATTTAAGCAACATAAAAGCACCTTGTCAAGAACTATTTCAACAACACAAGTGTACAATTTCATGATATAAGCAATAATATATATGATTTCACTGTAATATCAAACACAAATATGGATATTTCATGATAACAACAACATAACTAATGCACATTGTCAACAACTATTTCAACAAAACAAGTGTAAAATTCAATAAAACTAATGGATATTTCATGATTTAAGCAAGAATATATATGATTTCACTATAACATCAAACACAAATATAGATATTTCATGATAACAACAACAAAAATAATGCATATTAAAAATCCAACATCAACATTCGATCATATAACATTAAAATTGAACATATTACATCAAAATTTCATCATATTCCTTAAACACAATCAAGCCTACCATCAAAATTGAACATATAACTTCAAATTTTCATCAACGTTCGATCATATAACATCAAAATTGAACATATAACTTCAAAATTTCATCAACATTCGATCATATAACATCAAAATTGAACATCAAAATCAAGCCTAACATCAAAAATAGCTTTTGATTGAACAAAGCTATTTAAATCATTATTTCAAGAAAAGCTGTGAACCTACCTTCATTGAAGGCGGCAGACAAAAGAATCGGCAGAAGGAAAAAAAAATACCTTGATTGAAGGCGGCAGACGAAATCGAGATCCTGTCGATGATGGCGCAAGCAGTGAAGTGAAGACAGAAAATCGAGATCCTGGCAGACGAAATCGATGCTGGCAGCGACGCACGAGATGGAGATGGCGCCGGATTGATCGACGATTGACGAACGCACGAGATGGAGATGGAGTTTTCGTCGATACCTTCGTTTCACGAACGCAGTGAAGTGAAGACAGAAAAGGAGGCGGCCGATTAATGTAGGGCAAAATAGGAAGAGTCCCGTGTTTTTTATTTTTCAGACTTCTTTTTATATCTGAAAAAATAAGAGGCATTTTTTAGTTTAAGAGGTAAAAATTAATACTCAAACAAACACTCTGAATCTGAAAAATTAAGACATTACCTCTTAATTTTGCAATTAAGAGGTAAACAAACGGGGCCTTATGTTATTTGAGGTTTACATGCGTCTAATAAGATTTTAGTCTCGTATTTGTTATCTCAATTTAAAAATAAATCAAAAAACCCTTATTTGTTTTTATACATCAAGGATAATTTCATGAAAACTTATAATTATTATGAACCTTTTATTTTATTAAGGCTCAAGGGAGTGGAGTGCGGTTTTGACCGCACTCAATGTCACATAGGTAGGAAAACCGCCCCTTATACGGTTTTGGGTGCAATTTGACGGCACATCTCCCAAAAACTATCACAGACTTTTTTTTCTCTTTTCATTCATGTGTCTTTCTCTCTATTTTTCTTTATTTCATCTTTTTCTTTCTTTACCATAGTTTCCACATTCTAGGTGCAGTAAAGAACCGTACAAAATGTGGTATAAATAATATAACTTCTGTCTGTCAAAGAAGAAATAGATCTTAGATCATCCGTTATACTCACCACATATGTGAACATACCATATATGTGGTGAGTGACACATCAACACCATATTCTTCTACCACTAACATGAGATACCTACCACTAACACACAGCTTCATCTCATTTTTTTATTTAAATTTAATTCAAAAATACAATAAAAATATATTTTTTTAACTAAATTTAATTCAAAAACACAATAAAACATATTCTTTTTAATTAAATTTAATTCAAAAACACAATAAAACATATTTTTTTTAAACTAGTTTTTTAGTCAATGAAACAATATTACATTAATTTAAAACATACAACATACAATTAAATAAAAAACAAAAAAAAATACACTTAAACATGCAACCACAAACAATTTAAACTATTTTTTAAACCTTATTTTTAATCACTAAATTTGGGCACTCTCTCAATTTTCGTCAAACATTGACGTGTTTAAACTTTGGAGTGGGCAAAAACCGAACCGATAAAAGAAAAACAACAATAAACTGCAACCGAAAAACTGAAACCGACGCAAAAACCAATGGTGCGGATTTTATTTTTTTGAAAAATTGAATTTATTAATGCGGTGCGGTTTTTATCTAGAAACCGGACCACCAAAATCGAACCGCACCGCAAGCTAATTTAGAATAAAATAAATCACTAATTGATATTATACAATTATACATATTATTTAAAAAAAAAAAACTAATAAATTCTAGTTTATACATATATTATATATTGAACTTGACGGTAATTAGTAATTAGGTATTAGGTTTAATGTGTGAGTTTGTCACTTTGTGTTTATGATTTAATGATTATGTGTAAAGTGTAAACATTATGTGGGCTATAACTTGCACGTTTGTAACTTCTAAACACAAATTAAATAAAAAAAAATGAGCTTGAGAATATAGGTTGCAAATGAAGTGATCAAGTAAACAACATAAAAAACTCAAAATTACAGTTTCTAAATATGTGGAAATGAAATGACATCATCTCATACAATCAAAAATCTTCACATGAGTACCACGGTTAAAAAAATTGTAACGGTGAACATAAAAAATCGCACCATATGTTTGACTCGATTTAAAACCGACATCGAACCGGTACAAACTGAAACCACACTCAAAAACCACAAAATCGAACCATTGAAAAACCGCACCAAAGGTTTCTAGAATTCAAAAACCGCACCTTGCGGTTTGCGGTTTGGTTTGGATCTAAAACCGCAACGGTGTGTGTTTCGTGTCTTCATATTGGTGCATGACCACAACAAACAGACCGCCTTCGTGTACGTTGTTTATAACAAAGTTATAAATACGATTGAATTCAAAACATTTAACTCTCATATCGCGATATTTCACACATATTTCATCAAGACTACGACTTTGGTAACCCATTAAATCATGGAAAACGTTTCCAACTTTTACCCAAAAATTTAGAAGGCGTTACTAGGTCTTTTGAAGCCGTTACCATGCTCGTACTAAGTTATCTTCTTCATTTTCTGATCAATTCATCTTTTTAGGAGTCATTGGTTTTGAAAGAATGCAAAAGAAATGTGAGATTGTGTGAGAAACGAAAGAAGAAATTGTGGGTGTATGTTTACTAGAAAGTATGGTATTTATAGAAGAAGTTTAATATGTTTGAAAAGTTAAAAAAAATCGTTACAAAAAAAGTAGTCGTTGCAAAGCATCGACCAATATCCATTTCCGTTTGATTTCGTGGAACACACAACGAGCAAGTACGACCACGATCGACCATGACCGGCCGGAATGATGTTCACGATCGTTATCGTGGTCCACGTAACCACGAGCTTTCTCTTGCTATGTATACCGTATGACCTTATTGTAGCACCACTATCTCCACCCTATACATTTAAAAGCCACGTGGTATCTATCACTCATCAAGTAAACTTTATTCACAGTGCACACGCCTATCCAATCTTCAGGCTCCACTGCTGTACACAAACCGCCTCTTACTATGTCACAAAACTCTCACCGCCGTCTCAAAATAGTCGCCGGAGCAGACCCTTTTGGTTCCGCCATGAAGGATGCCCTCGTCTCCCACCTCCAGTCCCTCGCCATCGAAGTCGAAGACCTCGGCACCGATAACTACTACTCCGTAGGAGAAAAAGTCGGCCGCATAGTCAGCTCCGTTACAAATTCCCCAGACACCGAAACCCGCGGTCTCGTCGCCTGCGGTACCGGCGTCGGTGTATCAATCTTCGCCAACAAGTTCCCCGGTGTCTACGCCGCCACCTGCCTCACTCCCGCTGACGCCGCCAACGCCCGGTCAATCAGCAACTGCAACGTCATCGCCTTTTCCGGCATGTCCACGTCTCTCGACTCCGCCATCGAAACCCTTGATACGTTTCTCAACACCCCTTTCTTATCCCCTTGCCCTGCTTCCAAATCCGAACCCTGGCCTGAAAATATCCAAACGTTTCTCGATACTTCACTCACAGAAATGTCTAAAATCGGAACTACTCCCCCGATTTCCGTAATCTCTTGCTCCATCTGTAACTTAGCCGCCGGGCGTGAGTTTTCTCCGATTGAAATCATGCCGGGTGGATCTATGAAGATCGTTAGAGAAACACCCACGTCGGCTATAGTTAGATTCACAGCTGGGAGCATTGAACCGGGTCATCATCATACTCATGGTCATGATTTGGTGGTGATGAAAGGAAGAAAGATCGTTTGGAATTTGACTAAAAGTGAGAGGCATGAACTGGGTGTCGGAGATTACTTGTTTACTCCTGCCGGAGATGTTCATCGGGTTAAATATTTGGAGGATACAGAGTTCTTTATCCGGTGGGATGGAAATTGGGATATCGAATTTGATGAAGATCTTGCTGCTGCTACTTCTCAGTTGGAGAAAGAAGCATAATTGGTATATCCATACACTGTTCAACAGTTGTAGTTAGACTTGTGTGGATGAATAAAAGCTTGCATTAAGTGTATATGATAGTAAGTTTGTCTACATGTTTGATTACATGCTGATCGTGTGTGGTGTAATCGTTTAATGAGTAAATTAGATACTGATAATGTGTGGTCTAATTGTTTAATGAGTAAATTACTGATGTTGTATTGTAGTCGGACCATCATTTGGTATGATTTTGTTGTATACCACCGATATATATATATATATATATATATATATATACTATCTTATAAAACAAATCTAACTATTTCTAAAAATAGATTGATTATAATAATAATATTTTTTTAAGACGTCCAAATGATGAAGCTGATAGTACAAGTAATCATTAATAAAATAATATTAAATTTTAACCATATTTTGAATTCAAATATTTATTATCAAATCTCCTTATATTTCTCAACAATTTGATATGGTTTCCTCAAATCTCGGATTCATTCAAATTTTGAACCCTTTTAGATATCCTTAAATTTAGCATGTTGATTCAAATATCCCTCCAATCGCATATACCTCTTTGCTCCCTCCTCTACTATAAAGTCCACCGTCCAGGAACAAAAAATGACTTCATTTCCCAAATAACATCATAGTTTGATTATTTTGTCTTCGACGTGTACTTTCTTTTGTAACATAACATTTTTGTAGAGGAAACATATCACTGAAAGAATTTACACGCCCCGCCGCTTTGCGCGGGTGCACTGCTAGTATATATATATATATATATATATATATATATATATATATATATATATATATATATTTGTATTTTAATTAATTATGTGTTAAAGAAAAGTTATTTAATTAAAAAAGTTATTCGATAAAAATAACTTATAGCATTGACAAAACCGTTAACAAGTCATTTTTCTATAAGATAACTCTCTCTAACTTCTTAGTTTATAGGGCAATAAGTAAGGAAATGGATTTAATAGGGTAATTAACTTTTCGGTTTTTCACATCTGGGTAACTATTTTTTTTTTTGTATACATCTAGGTAACGCACTTTTTGGAAGTGTTCATATATGACCATTATGACTGGCTGTAGTAGGTTACATCCGGTCATAACCAGTCATAATGATCGTATGTGAACACTTCCAAAAAGTTCGTTACCTAGATGTGTACAAAAAAAGATAGTTACGCAGATGTGAACAAACTGAAAAGGTAATAGTAATGTATATTGGGCTTAGAATAGACATTCACATTCCTTTGAGCCTGGAAATAATAGAAATGTATAGTGGGCCTTAGTGGTCCACTTACATGTTTATTGGGCCTGGGAATGAGTTTTATATGCGTTCTTCTTTTTATGTTATTTTAGTGAATACGTGAGCCAAAACCAGTGATAAACCAACAAATGGATATAATTTGATCATTTTCTCAGTTATTGGGCCTTAGTGGCCCATTCTTATGTGTGAGAGGTCCTGTATATGTTTATTGGGCCTCATTGACCCATTAACATGTGCGATGGACCTGGGATACTATTTGTGTGCCATTTGGGCCTGTAAATACTTTACATGTGAAATGGGCCTTAGTTGTCCTTTTATATATATTTTGGGCCCATATTATATAATCTCATTCCAATTGGGTCTTGAAATGATTTACATGTTTAGCGATGCCTTAGTGGTTCACTTACATAGATCATTGGGCCTGGAAGGAGTTTATACCTTTTTCTTCGCGTAAATTCGATTAAGGATCTAGCGAGTTTTTGTCGGTTGGCACCTATTAAGTGTACGATCGTAGCCTGTAGTTATAACCAGAGTCTCTTGGAGGGAGAACAGGGATTTGTGTATAGATCTATACGGGGTTGACACCCTACATCTCAACTGTTCGCTACAGTTAGACTAACTCAATCTAGGGTGACGAAAACCTTATAATCAAAGTCAAAACCGGCGTCCAACGACGCCAAGACAGGTGAAATTGTCATTATTTAGTATGTTTATGACGGCTCGCTTAGAGGAATTAACGTTATGAAGTTTACGAAAGACCTTTTTTTTATAGGCAACATCGGGTTGTATGGGAACATTCTCTTTACATGCTCTTACATTCTCTCTTCATTCTCTTTACCTTTTTAGTCAAATAAACAATAACATACATGCATTAATACAAGATTTAACACAAACACACTAAACAATTTTCAGAAAATATCGGATTTTCTGGTGGTTTTCAAAGTTATACAAATAATTTTCACAAACATGCTTATGAACTCACCAACATTTTTATGTTGACCATTTTCAAAATAACTTGTATTCTCAGGAAACCGTTGAAGCAGGATGAACAAAACAAACTAATGGATATTGTGTTATATTTTGTTTCATCATACTCTTACTATTTTGGGCATGTAATATTCAAATACAATACTCGATTTAAACAATGAATGTTGTTATATTACATGTGTGATGATGATGATGTTATGTTTCAATTATATTCACTGTAATGATATTTCAAGATGAAGTCACGTACAAGCTCCCAGACGTTTCCGCCATCTGGTTCGGGGGTGTGACAAACACCCTTAAGAGGTTTGATCCCAGTAGTGCTTAATAGTCTCCTTAAGCTCAATCTACGTATCTTGACATGTGTTCAAATTTGAAAACTTAGTTGAAGACCAATACGAACTTAGAAATTGGATATTAAAAGTTAAATTATTTGAAATTTAAGATGTATATAAGGATGTTACTTTACCTTTGTTTATTGATTATGTTATTACAACCTCGTATGTCTCGACACTTTAAACTTTTTTATAAGGTAAGGACTTAACTAGTTAAACCTTTATCCGCAAGTAGTTTCATAAAATGATTCTTATTTTTCACATTAGAAGTTGTTTTTTGACTATCTGAAAAAGATATGTATGAAATGTCTTGGATATTTTTCAAAAAATAAAGTTTTCGATTATGGATCTTAATTAACATGAATAATTTGCTTTAGGATTAGATGAGTGATATTCATATGGATATCACTTCTATAACCCACTTATAACCATATATAAACATGAAAAATATGTAAAATTCATTTTTATGAAATATGTTAGAAAAAGTATAAATTGCAAGTTATATATATATATATATAAAGTGTAAATGTTCCGTTCAATGTTTTTATCAAAAAACTAATATGAGATTTCTTAATAAACAGATTCAAGAATTTCACTTCTCCGATTTGTGTTTTTCTATACATTTACAAGAAAAACGGTTTTACATTTTTCAGTTTCATTACAGTTTAATCTCCACTAGTTCTATGATCTAGCTCACTAGTCCTTTCAAACTCGTTCGACTAACGACCATCCACCACACAAATAAACGATGAGTGAAAACGATTATCATTTAACATTTAATAATTAGTATTTGAGCTATGATTCAAGAATTATCTATTAATTAGAAATTAAATTAATTTTCTTAAATCTTATTAGGATAATCATATTATCTTATAATTGGTAGTTATATTATTTATCTTCCTTTCATATTCAAATTAGAAATCTAAATTACCTAGTTGATATATTCATATTTTATACATGTAAAATAACATGGATTAACTAGTTATTATCCTATCTTTTGAATTAATGTAAAAAAATTCATAAATCACAATCCAGACTGTCTTCACGTCATCACAGAAGGTTGGTCACGACGTGGCAAATATTTTTTTCGTTTTTTATTGTTTATTTCGATTTTATCTATTATGTACCGTTAATGCGAAAATAAAGTTTCTGTTACCACTAATGAAAATTCTAGGTTACAATAACAATATACTTGCGGAATTTCACTTAACACTTAAGGGTACATGCAACCTAAATTAGATCTATGCCTTTTCACATCTAATAGCAACATACCTTTGAAATACACAAACTAAAACCTATGAATCAAAATTCAAAGTTAAGAAGATTTGAATGATTAAATAATATATTTAATCTCAATTCAAATCATTTTCTTTTTAGCAACTATCAGACTTCTAAAAACCCTAAGAAAGGCTCCAAAACCGTATGTGCCATGTATTATTATAGAATTGTCTTTTTTTTCAACTATTGAACAATTACAAATCACCCTTGAATATTTAATTAATTCTGATTAAGAATGAACCAATTTTGACTATTTCTAATTAATTTATTATACTTATAATAATTTAACAAATCATCAATTAAATATTTCTAATTAATATATTAACAAATCATTTGATCAATCTAATCCATTTCCTGGTTATAAGGGTAAACCAAAAAGGATTTTATTTTTATTCATCAACATTATACCAATTTAGATAGGACCTTAGACACTTAATCCAACAAATTCAATGTGAAAAAATGGATTCATTATCGACAAGATCTTGAAGGCAATCGATTTTGTATTATTTTTCTTGAAGGTCATTGTTTTGACTCTACGAATTTTGTGGTGGATAGCAGCGGTGGATTTTGGTGGTAGTGGTGATTAACTTCTTTTTTAATCTCGTTATTTTAAGTTCCAGGCAATAAAGAAGAGATTTCATTAGACATTTTGTAGATATACAGGTCCACCATGTTTAAACCAAGACCATGGTAGACGACAAAGCACATGAAGTTGATTTTGACGACAAGAATCAAACATATCTGGGTCACGAGATATTTGAGTGTGTCTAACATTAGTCACGTCACAACTATTATACCTCGAATAAGGTACTATTGAGGGGATTTAGATATGAGTGGGATGATTAAAAACACAAAATGAGAGAATGGATTGATGAAGCAATATACTAAGGTCCGCCATGTTCGGAAAATATAAGCTATTCTGGCGAGGATGGCGATTTCGGTGAAGAAGAAATAAATATTAGACATTCCGACCATACCAAGCTTCGATTGTCCGACATGCTTGGTGGCGAGGATGAACATACAATGACCAATGCTAAATCCGGTGAGAAAACGAAGGACATAGGTTAGTAGTAGTATGAAGAGAGTGATGTTAGTAGTCCAAAAATGGCATTAAGTATGCCAACTACTGTGAGGGA